ACTCCTGACCACACCTAAGTGTAAGACCAACACTACTATGGGGGCACAAATAGGTTCAAGTATTTTTGCTACTAACACAACGTGGGTTCTGGGCATGGAAATGACAACTGCATTAGGTGAGAACCAGCAATGATACTTGCACTGCGCTTTGCAATGGAATCTGTGCTGCAAACACAATTTTCTTGGTGCTCTATCGCTGTCCATATTTCTTCCTATCACTCCACACATTCTACTTTCAGCTGGGATTCCAGTTTCAGTGTGCGAGTGGTGAATTTACAATGTTACACAAGCTCTCTTAGCATTTTTTTACTCTAATAAATAAACTAAATAAACTGACAAAATGTCAAGAAAGGACTGTTTTGGTTTGAAGGTGGAATTAAACCAGCCACCATTACCTTGTTGGTTACACACTTCTAAATCCATGTAATAACACTGATGTAAGAAAGAATCAAAGAAAAAAAAGACAGAAAGCTGTCCTTGAGATCCTGTAAACCACCCAACCCCAAGCCGCACTGAGCCTAATTTGTGGCCCGCACTGACAGATTGAGCTTATGTGAACACACCTGTCATAACGTTTAAGTAAGTGTACAACCTGTATAATAATTTTGACGTCTGAGACGGAGATTGCCAGTAAGTCGAAGATAATCAATTACTGTCCTAACCCTAAAGAAGAGCATGGCCTGCACGAAAAAGCACAAAGTTGTCCAAGAAAACCATCAGTTAAAATCTGACTGGACTGATGAGTTTTAATTTTCTTTTACCGGACCACGCCGGTAATAAATTGACATGCTTTGATATTCATGCAGACTGTAGCTGCTTGCAGATAATCTAAAGCGGCACATCAGTGCTATATGCACTGCCAGTTTAAACTACCCAACAAAATCAGATCACCACTAACAAAAAATAGAATGATAACATCACACAAGCACTACTTTCTGCTAATTAACATCTATATGAGAGAGTGCAAGAGCTGCATCATTGCATGTTTTGTTTCATGGAACCTTGCTAAAGAAAAGAAGCCATTCGCTCATGATTGATGGTTGATTAAAACTGCAATTGCAATGGTTGGCAAAGTTTTAAGTCATGAGGAGAGAAACAAGAAAGCGGTCTAGTTAACTGATGTGGAACAGCTTTCTGTGTTTGCAAGGTTTTTCTGATGGGAAGAGCTACTGTGTTTGCTTCCTCCTCCTGGACGCACAGCTGGGGAAATCCTGTCTAACAAATTGATATAGTTCTTCGAAAAGAAGGGCTTGGATGTGAGCACAATTGTGTCCATTGTCACTGATGGAGCTTTGTTGATGGTGGGACACAAGGGCTTGGTAAGCAGGCTGGCCCGTAACCCAGTGCTCTCAGCGTGTCATCGCATTTTTTACAAATCAGTGTTGTGCGCTAAACTGTGTGGGGAAATGAAAGAGGCAATGGAGACTTTTGTATTTGTAAAAGTTCTAATCTGTAAATGTTTCAGAGCATTGCTGGAGGAAATGTCTTTAGAACACAAGGATGTTTTGCTGCATAATGATGTTCATTGGCAAAGGTCATGTTAGAGAGGGTTTTTGACCTGTGCGATCAGCTTGTGTCATTTTTATCCAGCCTGCAGAGCCAAAAAGCCCAAGAATTTCAGAAGTGACAACATGGTGTACTATTAATACTAGAAGTTTAATACTATAAGTTTTCCACACAAACAAAATTAATACAGTAAATAATAAATAAAGAAATAAAAAATGTCAATGAATTATTAAAAATGTATAAATTAATTTTAAAAAATCAATGCTTAACTAAGCAACAATATAATTTAATAATAAAGAAAGTATAAATTAATAAAAAATATAAATTAATAAAATAAATGCATTGCTAAACAATGAGACAATTTCATACTATAATAAAATGAATACATTCATAAAATGTATAAATAAAATTAATAACTGTGCCTACCTGGAGTGAACACACCAACAGCAGAGGCAGCTGGCACAAACTTTTTCTTTTTTGGGGGGTCGGAGTCTGAACTTTCCATACTTCAATCCATATCACTGAAGTCTGAAACTGCACCATCAGACTCAGTTCATGTAACACTGCCAAAGTTGTCATGAACTTTCTGCTCATGTTATCCTTGAGTCCTGGCAGGGCCTGTTTGTGACCGATCAGGAACGGTTCATTCCTTTCTCAATGTCACCTTATTTACTACAACTGTTGTTATGTCTTAAGCCTGTGTCATCAATTTAAGACTGCAATGAACCCAAACGTGTGCTTTTTTGTAAAGCTGTGGCAACTTATGGTACCATAGCTGATAAACAAAACCAAAAATGTTCTTCAGTCCGCTGCTGCTCTTCAGTCTGATTTCCTGCAAACCCCTTTTTGCTACATAAAGACTTTTCTCCCTGCATGACTGGCTCTCGGTGGTGTGCTAACTCACCTCACTTGAATATGCTAATACATGTCTTTAGTTATTTGCAATGTAAATGATAGAATCCAGTGGAGAGCTGATATCACACAGGGGTCAAAGGCTAAGGAGCCACTGAAATGATTAATACTCCGCCTATCACAGCAGCAGTTGTACTTGTGAGACTTGTTTAATCTCCTTTAGCCTCATTTAACCCTGTCGCACTTTGCATTCTTCACATTGCCCAAACCACAATAACAACAAAAAAAGAGATTCAGTAAGCGTGCTGTAGAGTGCTAGAAATACTTTTTGAACTCTGCTCCCTCTACTACATTTTACTGGGTGACACTATGATAATTGGCATCCTGGCATGTCTGTGTGCTTGCAACTACAGTGCCAGCCATGGGTATTATGTTCTGTCCCTGGGCAGTCTCTGGTGAAGATTAAAAATTGACTTAGGTCAACTGTGTAATTGGACAAATGTGGTTATAACGGAAAGAGGATTTCGACTAATATCATATAATGAGACGTCTATAGGCTCTGCCTTACATCACATCAGAAATTGACAAATTAGTTTAGGTCATCAAAGTCAGATTAGTGCGTGTCTGCCTGATTTATGCAACATTTATTAATATGAATGTCTTTAAACATTTGGCCGGTTGGCAGGTTAAAAAAGGTTGAATTGACAACTGCAGTTGTTATTTTCTGAGGGCCTAATTTAAATTCTAAATGAATTATGTAATGAGCTAGATAAGTTGGCACCATGAAGCCTGTCATTTCATTGGTCAAGTGTCATCTCAAATTAGTTTTGTGTAATCGGTGGTCAAAGCACCAGTGGTTATGAAACCCTGTCGATTTGGCGCTTTTTTCATTAATTTTCAGCTGAAAATCATTGCAAATCTGAAATTTGCATCAGTACAAGAGGAAAAAGACAGCCACAACAACATGAACAATGTAAACCATTATGAGTGCTATAATGAAGACAAAAATGTTTTGGTTTTATTGCAAATTTAAATGCATTCCTTACATACTGTAGAGCTGCAGCTACAGGTGTAAGCAATTATAGCGAAACTCCCTTTTGCAAACTTGACTGGTCTGAGGGATTAGTGTCTACATGTTCACTCACCCTATCCACACTACTGCTTTTTCAAATCAAATCGGACACATTTTGCACCTCCCGTCCAGACTACAACTAGGAAAACGAAGACCTAAAATGGAGAAGTTTGAAAACGCTGCCGACCCCGTTTTGCGTTTCAAAACTCGAACTTAGTGAAGACGGGCCAAAACGGAGGACTTTAGAAACGATGACGCAGCCGCTCACGCTCTGCTCTCTGTTTGGGTCTTGCAAAGCAGAAACACGATGCTACTGAGTTTTTGACATGGTATTTTTTTTTTAAATATTCTGTACCGAGACAATAACACTTATCTGCCTACACTTGTACTGTGCATCTTCCTTTGTGACGACACCCAGTCTGTATTCCACCGCCACACTCCCGTGTTACATTCAGTAACAGTCCCAGCTCCTTATTGGTGCATGCAAAAAAAAAACCTTCTTCGTCTGTATTTATTTTTTCTTCTGTAACCAGGAAGAGTCCATCGCAGCGCCACACATTAATTAACATAACAACATACTAACAACCACTCACACTCACACCTAAGGGCAATTTAGAGTCACCATACGCCAGGGTATGGCTGTGACAAGAGTTCACGGCTGCAGCCCATATACTGTACGTTGCAGGTTTACTATACCAAATTAGATCCAAAAATAACATCCAGTATACTAATAATAGTATTGGTGACAATCTAATGATGCTTCATTTTTGTAAAAATACAATATGTAACATTAATTAGCTTTACATGGTCTCATGCTGCCAATAAGTGCCCTTTCAGCAAACGGGCTCTAAATGAGCTCTAGATGCTTGCAGGAGAGATCCTACCCTGCCCATGCTTTCAAGTAAATGCATGTTAAAACATGGCTTCTCCAATGTGCTGCGTCACCTTTGGTTCTGAGTTTGGTTGCTTTGACCCCAGTATGCCTGCTTTTATGTCTAGTTTTTAATGGTTTTACTGCTATCCATTTAAAACCTAGAATAATGAATAATTAACAGTCCTACAGAATCTTGAGTACATTATTCAAAATGTGGCTCAGGAGGTTCAACAGCAGAAGTCATGTGATCCGCTGTAATTGTTAGGGGTGGGAATCACCAGAGGCCCCACGATGCGATATTATCTCGATATTTATGTTGCGATTCGATTTTATTCCAAACTTTTCCAACTTCCAATTAGGTCCCTAAAGTCAAACTTTGTCAACATCTGTTTATCTAAAAAGATATATTTGTTCATATCACTTTTTCAGTCCTCTATATGGTCCTGTTAAGTTTTCTAGTGGACTGAAAAAGCAATAGATTTTATTGTTCTAGTACCAAAAAGTTAAAACTCCCATCTGCAGTTTATATAATAAAATATCGACACTTGGCGTCCGTGTATCGATACAGGATTGCCATGGCAAATATCACCATACTATGCTATGATTTTTTCCCCCACCCCTAGTAATTGTGGCCACAGAGGATGTCAAATGTCTGCTCCTTCTTCAAGTTTTTTTCTTTGATCTCTTCTCTTCTAGTGCCATGAATCAATCTGGACAACAGCTGCTACCCACATAGAGGTCACTTTACCTCTCTTTCCATTTGCTTCGGTTCAGAGGATGCTGGGAATGTGTCGCGGGCGCAGGAAGTTCCTGGCGGCCTCCCTCGCCCTGCTGTTCATCCCAGCACTCACCTGGCTTTACCTGTCAGTCGGCGGCTTTCAAGGTAAGCACAGATCTCTGAACACACAGTGAAAACACATTAACGCATCAGTGCTTTGTAATATAACATATACAGCATCACGTGACATCAATTGGTGTCATCATCTATATAATGACACAGTGGTGTCATGGTTGCTTTGTTTGTCAGATGTTGGATTAGCCATGCTGATACAGAATGTTCTTTGGGCAGATATTGGGATGCACTGCCATTTACATGAACCTTAAAGGTGGGGAAGGCACTGTTGGAGAACTAGCAAGAGACCGCTGGATCAAACATTTGATTTACTGCTATAAATACAGTTTCAATGAATATAGAAAATGCATAAAATAAATTCCGTGCTCCAGCTTTTAAGTGATTGTAGTGAATTTCTTTATAACATCTTTTTACTTTTAAGATTTTCATGCTGTCTTGACTGTAACAAAAATATCCAGTTGTTATGTGCATGCTGCGCCGCATGTCACGTCATGGGCACAGCGACACAGAAACACACAACAACACGTCATCAGCGTGGAAGTCCTTCAACCCCGATACCTGTAAGGCCAAAATAATGAAATGACAGTTTGTAGACCTTTCATGCTACACACACATAGAACCATTAAATGTATATTAGAATGTGGTAACATAAAATAATAAAATAAAATACAACAATATATACAATTGTTTATATCCATATATACATACACCCAGAATTTTTTGAATTTGTGTCTGCAAGAATGTAAATAGTAGCAACCAGATAGTGATGATAATATAGTTTTCTTCTTCACATAAAAAGTCCCAAACCCGCAATTGTTTTGGCGCAGTCACAGTAATGTGATATGTCACAAAGTGCTGTCCCATTATATCATTTCGGGCCCTTGCAGCCTCTCGCACTGACGTCAACTAAGTCTGTTAGGGCTCAGGGTGTAGGCTTTAGGGTGGAGATTGGGATTGGTGGTCTCAATTGTTTTGATAGGCGACCTCATTAACATTAAGCCTCCTTCACACGGCTCAGGTTCTGTCTCGGATGGAAATATCCAGTGTGACTTTATAAAACAAAGTGAGCAGATTAAAGCAGTTTGTGAGTAAACACTAAAATAAGGTGCAGAATAAATTAGAATTAAAATGGTGAGATAAAAAGTCACCTACTAGAAATAGGGTAATGTATTCTTTCAAATATTTTCAGATAAAATATACAAATAAACCCCCTCTCTCCCCGCCCCTACAGTTATACTCATTCTGCAATGTCATTGTGTCATACAATATACAGCTCTGTCCAGTAGCCTAACCTGGAACATTTTTTCATTTTGACACATCTTAGAGTGAGAGGAGGTATTATTATCTAACCTGCTGCAGTTTTGGAGAAAATGTAGTTATTAAAAGTTATTAAAAGTCAATGTTTTTATAATGAACAAGGGCCCCAAGATGACTAGCCAATGATTATGCTGGTGCTAATGGGGATCAGATAAAGAAAGAAAGGAAGAATTTTCCATTACATACAAAAATAGTATGCTGTCAATTGATAGGTCTTAGAACAAAAGAAAATCAGAATCGGCAGATCAGACTAAAGAAATAGGAAATTGGAATCAGCCAAGAAAATTGTAATGGGGCCATCTCTCTCTAGATTGTATAAAAATATATAATATATAAAAAACTGCATTGTTTAAGTCTAGGCAAACTATTTAAACCATTAAAATGTCTCTCAGTCAAACATAAAGAGTGGAAAACAATAACACCTGCACACATGAAATGAGATTTATGTCCATGGACGAGGTATGTTGGCTTCCCGACACCTCAACTCAGGACACTAATATTTGTCACACACACACTTTGAAACCATTGTGTAATTTGACAACCTCTTGTTACATAGTGACAAAATCATGTATGACCACATTTTCACAACTCTTCATCATGGTAAACCCATCTCATATATCAGGTTTTGAGCACGTAAATAGTAAAACACCGTAGTCAAACTGCAGACTCACATGGATCGAAAAAATTGCAGTAGTGTGGAAAAAATTTAGATATGTCCCTGTCTTTATCAAAAAAATGATATTATTAGGTTGATGAGAATCTTTTATCCTCCACCAAATTGAATCCATGGAAGAAAAAACACCTTGGTCAAACTCAAAGATAACATTACATTACATACAATGAATAAATGACAGAATTCTTGTACTTTTTCACTGCGTACTATACCTTATAATCAAACATCCAGAATTGTCCCACAGAGTCTGAAGAAACACATTTCCTGTAGACAAAGTCACCCTTCCCTCCTCTTTTTCTTCTGGAGGAGGTATATTAATGAATTACTGAGGCCTGTCCAAAGTTGATTACTTCCTCCAGACAATATAGTCAAGGAGTTCTTGGAGCCATTTTAATGACTTTGACTTGCAGGATTGAAATGCTGCAGTAGTGCCATTATTAATTATGATTAAATTGACAATTTTGACTCAGTGTCACAGTCAGTGGAGACTGTATATGCGAATACGCTCCTATAATGCAACAGTCACCAAGGTCTGCAAAGTAATTATTAGATTTGGCAGTAAATTCCTGGCGGTGGGGAGCAGTTTGTGGGAGTGTGATAAGTTGTGAAAGGACCTGGCTGCAGGGAGCATCAGCTGTAGGTGAGGCCTGAATGTGTGAGACAGGAACAATGTGATTCCTGGCTCGGCCTAACCCCCCCCCCCCCCCCCCCCTCCCAAGCCTGCAGTTTTATTTTCAGGCCTGTTAAACATGTAGAAATGCACTGAAACCACACCAAGCTGTGACTTAGTAGCCTATTTGCAGTAATGATGTTACTGTATTTGTAAACAGCTGTTTTTGGCTATAGTCTAATTATAATTAACTGCATTAGGCTGTATTTGATACACAGTCCTGTATTACTGTATAGTTTATTTGAATTATACATATGTCATTTAATGTGTGTACAGTAGGTAACTGTTACCAGCTGTACTATAGTTGACAGGAATGACAGTATTAGTGAAGCTGTCCATTTCATTACTTTATATCCATGTAATCAATATACCGATGTCAATTAGATGGTAATCTGCATAAGAAAAAGAAAATGTGGTTATAATAATTATCTGCTTATAGTGACAATTTTGACCACAAAAGACGGGATCGCTAGAAGAGCTTTCCCCTGCAAAAGAATTAATAATAATAAAAATAAAACAAATGCAGTTCAAACATACACGTAAGTGAGAACTATATAAACATTTATTTTCCATCTGTGTGTGTGTGTGTGTGTGTGTGTGTGTGTAAATCAGTATACGCCCTGTCTCTGTCTCCTTTGGGTATTTTTAATGTCGTGAGCTCATTTAGTTCTTTGGAATCTGAGATTACAGAGCTGAGGTGAAGTGAATGTCTTACATTGTGGCTGGAAGTGCATCTCTGTCTCAGCCTCTCCTATGTTATATATTCTGGTTTCTTTTGGTTGCCATGATTTTTAGTGTCTTCCTTTTTGATGTCCAGTGTGTGGTCACTGAGTCAGTACCCGGTTAGGATCTGTCTCTGACAGTAGAGAGAGATTCTGCTGATTCACCATCTCTTTTAGGGCCAGAGAACCTTCTGGTCTACTTTGGCTTTTAGCTTCTTCTTTCTATGGTTCAAGTTTCTTTACATTGCGTTATAGTTTGGTTTCCTATGATTGGTGTTTGGAAAGCAGTGTTGTCTAGGGGGCTGGATTTAAGGTGATAAGGTTAAAATTTGACTGCTCTCTTCTGAATGTTAATTATCAGTGGGTATCTGCTTTATTCCGCTCTATGTGCATTTTGTTGGTGTTTTTCTGTGTACGTGTAAAATGTATCTGCAGAATTCTTAATATAAAGATTCTGTTTGGCCCATTGAGTATGGCTGAGAGGACCACATACTTCACAACTATACAGCGCAGTTGGCTGGATGACACCGTCAAATATTTTAAAATGGAATTTGGAACAAAATGTTCTCTTAGTTAAGCTTTTATTTTTAGTGCATTTGCTGCCATGTTGAAACTCCTGGATGTTGTTATGGTTATTCCAAGTGGGAGACAGCAGAAGGTCATCAGCATAAAACAGAGACTAAAAAGAAGGATTCTCCCAGTATAGTTTTTTCTCCACCCCTGCCTCTTTGCACATGTCTGTAGAAAAAAAAAACAGTGAATATCTTTCAAATGTTGTTTGGTGTAAATGTTTGATAATTAAAGTGTGAAGGTTTCCACATGGTCAGCGTTTTAGGAGAAAGCCAATTAGATGTTCACTCAGGATGGAGTGTGTGTCAAGGAAACGTAGAATATTTTGATTAAGAATACTACAGAATGATTTACCTAGGCAACTGCTGACACAGATGCCACAGTAGTTATATCTTTCTCTCTCTCTCTCTCACGCTCTCTGTCCATGTCTGATTGCTTTCTGTTGCTCTGTCCCTGTCTTGAATGTTGTTTTTCCTCTCTCTGCTCCCTCTGTGTTGTGTTTATCTGTCTGGCAGAGTGAGAGAGATGGTGAGTCTCTAGAGTAGAGAATAAGGTCTTATCCAGAGAAAATACATTATATGGCTAAAGTATCTGGGCACCCTGTCCACATACATTTGTGTACTTTGCTCTGCAGCTGTTTTCTATTGTTTGGGCTAGGGCTGGATATTGAACCTGAATACTTTTTAGGTACCAACTGAAATATGTCTGTAACTGCTAGGCCCGGGATTTGGTAGAATTTTATCTGAATCCTTTCTAATCCCTTATCAAATAGATTTGTAATCACCGTGTTTTGGCTCAGCAGCCAGAGCAGCTTTAGGTGGCAGCCTCATAGATGTTCTTAACCTGTAGCTGTAAGCTAAAAGCAAAAAGTTCAACAGAAGTTATGAAATGTTACATTTATCTGACACATTAAAATAGAATGTGTATGTATTTTTACGTCTTTTTGCCAGCTACTTGCGCCACATATTGGACATCCCTTTGCATAACTATTAAGTTGATTAGCTTGAAATATTGATGATAATACTGTACAGCAATCCTCAAATAGTCACAGAGACCAGTTCGATGGCAGGGAATACAG